ACTTCAATATTATGAGAATGTACATTATTGCAAGATTGTCCATAGCAGCGTAAAAAGTGTCTGGTGCTTATTTCAACCTAGTTCGAAATAATGTGTTCAAAGTCTGAACAAAAATGTCATGTGTTGTTTTTAGGAGTGGCTCACCGGGCTTTTGAGGATGACGTTGAAGCGTTGCTCAACATGCGAGAGTTCTTCAACTTCCTGCCGCTCAGCAATCAGGACCCCGCCCCCATCAGGGAGTGCCACGACAGCAGGTAGCCAAATCAGCTGACCTTCAATTACAAGGAGAAAAAAAGAAATGATCATTAATAGGAAATATATGTTTGTTTTGTCCATTTCAGCAACCGTCTTGTACATTCGTTGGACACCATCGTCCCGTTTGAGACGACTAAAGCCTACGACATGTTGGACATCATTCATGCAGTACGTGCACACTCTGAAATATGAAACCACTTCTCATTCAAATTCCTCGGGTAGTAAAAGCTTCCTTTCTTCTTGCATCTCTTCAGATCGTGGATGAGAGCGACTTCTTTGAGATCATGCCTAACTACGCCAAAAACATCGTGGTGGGATTCGCCCGCATGAACGGACGCACTGTAGGCATTGTGGGTAACCAGCCCAAAGTAGCTTCTGGTAAGTAAAATAATTGACGGACCAACAATAAGAGGGCTAATAGGATGGGGGGGAAATATTCTTGCTATTCAGTCCTAATGTCCGTCTCCTTCATCAGGCTGTCTGGACATCAACTCCTCAGTGAAGGGAGCGCGCTTTGTACGCTTCTGTGACGCTTTCAATATTCCCATCATCACCTTTGTGGATGTGCCGGGCTTCCTGCCAGGTACTCTTTGAAAATGTACTGTACAATGCATGGAGTAATCCAGTAATTGGCCATACATACAGTTTACATCTTAATCTGGTTAGGAATGTACCAAGGATTTTGTTGTGAGTCTCTCTGCTGCTGTGAATTATACAAGAGAATGCTTTTGTCTACAAGGTGAGTCTTGGTCACAGATAATATCTGCCTGCACAAAAGCAGAAAGAGATTTAGCTGCCAGCTCAGTAGAGAGTAATCACAAGATCATTGATAAAGTAAAGGTAAATACACACTACAGTTTTGATAAGGGATAAAGTCAGGGATCTATCTCATAATATTGCCTAACCAGGCTATAATGTCAACTATACACACAAGACAAAAACGGGGTTACCTCACATGTGCGCAGACATTGTTATTGCATTGAAATCGAGCTACTGTCACATCTGACCATTTCCTCTTATGCTTATTATGTAATAACTGCTGTGCCGGGGCTCCACAGGAACCGCTCAGGAGTACGGAGGCATCATCCGACACGGAGCCAAGCTGCTGTACGCCTTCGCAGAGGCCACCGTCCCCAAAATCACCATCATCACCAGAAAGGTGCGTGAACAACATGAAAAGAGAAAAGCTCTTAAGTTAAAGGTTTGCTAAAGAAGCATTTGTCGCTCTTTGCCTGAGCAGTGCTGATGAATAAAACTAATCCGCTGACCAACATGGAGAATAAGAGCGACTATGAAACTTTGCTGAAACCTGATGTTTGAATGCTGAGTGAGCCCTACTGACTTTATTGTAACACTTCCTGCAGGTGCTTAACACTACATTATACATCTAAGCATTGTAATAACTTCAAGGCATGAATGTCACACATTTGTTTGTGTGAGTTTGAGAATACACCTGGCAAATCAGATGTGAAACCCTGGGGCTAGGGAATGAGTGTTGTAAAAAATAACCAAACATGTGTGTGTTCTTTTTAAATGGGTGATTTGAGGTCAGTCCGAGTAAATCAGGCACACTGTTGAGTTTTAAGATGTGTGTGTGTCCGTGTGTGTCCGTGTGTCCGTGTCCCAGGCTTACGGAGGAGCGTATGACGTGATGAGCTCCAAACACTTGAGAGGAGACATGAACTACGCCTGGCCCACAGCTGAGGTGGCTGTCATGGGCGCCAAGGTACGAACAGTCACTGTTTCCGTTCTTTCAATCGTCCCTTTGTTCGATTCGACCGTGTGCATGATGGTCTCTTTCTTTCTTTCTCAGGGTGCTGTTCAGATTATCTTCAGAGGAAAGGAGAACCAGGCGGAGGCAGAGGCTGAATACGTGGAGAAGTTCGCCAACCCTTTCCCAGCTGCTGTCAGAGGTAACCTTTTACGGCTTTATAGCGATGCAAAATCTCTCACCCATCATCCCTGATTGTGCTTAGACTCCACACACAAATATAAAGCATACACACCTGGTACTGACCTTGAACTGAAATGGTTTGTTTCAGGTTTTGTGGATGACATAATCGAACCGGCAACAACTCGCAAGAAGATCTGCAGAGATCTGGAGGTGCTGGCCAGCAAGAAGCAGATCAACCCCTGGAAGAAACACGCTAACATTCCTCTGTGATCCAACACAAACTGTCTCCACATTAACTCTCTGAAGGCTCGCTGTGGGAGTTTACTGATACTGACTTCACATCTGAATGAACTGCACTAGTTCCCGTGGTTAGGACTTGGGTAGCCTGTCATTCACCACTCCACTGAAGCAGCACTTAAATATACACTACCTGATTCTGTTAGTGCGTGGTAGCATCCCAATCAAATCAGATTATGTTTTGAACTAGGGCAATATGTCGATATCAGGACATCAGACTAAATATCATTCTAGATTTTGGATATTGTAATATGGCATTAGTAGTGTCATTTTCAAGTTTTTGGGGGAAATATTGGTGCTCTGTCAACAAAATCAGCAGGTGTATCTTTACAACTTTACCCTTGATATGGAAACCCTAACTCATTTCCAGTACCTGACCAGGATAAAAGTGGTTATACACATTCAAGATACTTGTATGTCAGTAGTGACCACATTGGACACAACTCACATTCAAGATACTTGTATGTCAGTAGTGACCACATTGGACACTACTGTTGGTTTGATTTGACATGTTTGAGAACAAGATTTGATCTAAAAGGAGTAGATTATGTGTCACTGATAGAAGCTGAACGGACACGAGCAACTAAACTGTCACATGATCGTAGAGTGGAAATGCAAACATGCTGCAGTCTATTCATGACAATAGTGTTGCTCATGTTCTGTATTTAGTTGTTGAAGTTTGTGGTGTGAACCGTAGTGTTTTTAGACACTCCCTGTGTTTAGGTCATCCTCACAACCTGGAACTGTGCCTTTCTCCTCTGACAGCCTCTGCCATTTGTAAAATAAATCATGGACTCAATATCATGTTTCTGTTTTTGTTCACTTCAACCAATGCAAGGATTTGTATCTGCAGAAATTACAAGAGTGTATAAGTATAATATTGGTTTTTGAGAGTGTAAGTGAAATTCACAAAGAGCAGAAATGTTAAAACAACGAATTGGAAGTAAGAGTTTGGGAAATGCACTGAAAGGTGGGGTAGGTACAGAAACACTGTTATATTCCATGGAATGCTCTTAACATCCCGATAGCAATGAATATATTAAATGCTTTGACAATAAATACATTAAAAAATGTCATCTGTGGAAGCCGTGGCGCTGTAAAAAGCACGACCAATCATCTGAGCCGGCCCGGCTAAAGTAACTGGATGGCCTACCTGCCTGTCAGCCTTCCATCTGTGCACAAACTTATCTCGTGCCCTCATTGGCCATGTGTGTGCTGGAGGAGGGGCTCTGTAAGGCAGTCTGAAGGAAGGGGCAGATTTTTTCCGGTTGTGTACTTTCAAATTCTAGCGCACTCGAGCTGGTTTCTCCATTCTTACCTACCCTACCTTTAAGATTTTTTTGCAGAGATATCTAGCTTGATGAAAAGATGTCGTGCTTGTGTCTGTTAAGAGATGTTCTACAGTGAGCGAGAAACAAATCAGGTTAAACAAATCCTTTAATGCTTTCATTGCAGTTGTTAAATCCTTGGAGCTAAAGGAAAAGTGAGGTTTGACATCTTAAAATGAAAAGCTATTCTATGACAACTTAACATGTTGTATTATACAGTTTATTTGTACAATATTTTTGACTCGAGGTTCACTTACTTTCCCTGGAGCTTTGGACTGTATCACACCGTCTTCATCAGGAGATCAGTTCTGCCAACTTTAGTTCAGACATCATGGATGAGAAGAGCACAGAAAACCACGGAGACCCAATCCAAAACCACTCCTTCGACCCTACCCCTCCGTGGCGGAGTGAACTCCGTCTGTAGCCACACTCGCAGCTCAACGAGGCTCCCTCCTGTCAGATGGAGGGAGTAAATACAGCGGCAAGCTTTGGGACAAACTCCCCTCTCTCCGGCAGAAACAGGAAATGCCGTAACTGTATGTAACAACGGTTTCAAATCAGCATCTCTTAGACAAAAAATGTAAATTAATAACTCAAATAAAACTCCAAACATCTTTCATTGTGTTACTTTTTTGTAAAGCTCTTTTAGTTTTAAACCTGATGTTTATAAGCTTCTTAGTTTTTGCAACAGTCTGTAAATATACACAACTTTATAATAAAATGCACACATTTACCTTTTTCTAGACTAAACACAGGTATGATCCTAAGTTAAAAAAATATGAGGTTATCATGAGGTTGTTAACATCGCAATTTATCAGTGGATGTTTGCTGGAACTACTTGTTAACAGCGCGTTTCCTGACGGACACACACAGCGTTGAGCCCGGTCAGGTAGAGACCGGTCTCAAATCAGCACCGATGCAGACTCGCTGTTTGAGGGCTTGATAGCCCACTCCCCCTCCACACTGCTCCACACTCGTTGGTTTGGAACAGCACTTAATGAGGCGGACCCTCCGCGCGAACGCGCAAACGGAGGGGTAGGGTGTAGGGGGCGGTTTGGGATTGGGCCTGAATATCTAGTTTGAGGGCAAGAGACTTGAGTTCAGATTGTTTTGTGAAATGTAACTGTATCCAGGGTGAAAATGAGGTGCTACACAGTAATGGGTCAACGTTGGCAAAGTTTTTGAACTCTGGGCTGGGCTGTGAAACAAAAGGCACACTCAAACACTTGTCCATAAATCGAATACAGATTTTATTTTATTAAAAAGAATTTAGGTTCACAGAAAAAAAAAAAACAGGCGTTTAGAGCATTTAAGGGCAACTGATGTCAACTGCACTGCAGGAAAGATCCAATTGTCTCTGATATTTACAGGAGGACTGCCAAGCCAGCCAGGGGGAGGTGGATGATTGATTAACCGACGGAGCGTGAACAACGATATGGCTGGAAACATTCAAAACACATTCAAACAAATCTGTCAGAGTAACAACAAATCATCTTGGATCAGATAACACTGAGGCAGGCGTCGAAATGTAACCTGCAAAATGAACAAAATGAACAAAATGAACAAATAGTCTGCTGTAATACTGAACTGTGAAACGACTACAATCAGACCATACAGCGCTTAAAAAGATCCCACAGCAACACTCTGAGCTTGATAACCGTTAGATATGAGACACAGGTGTAGGGGAAGGGGCTGGAATATACCGTAAGTATGTAGGCCACAATTTGGCAACAAACAAGATACATATTTGAGAAAAAGCTGTACAAACATCCGACAAAAACAAAGACACACTTGATTTAAAACTTTAGTACTAAAGCTACAGAATTCAAAATATGTTTATTTTCTTTTATTTTTTAAACTTCAAAAAACTTATCCGAGATCTGAGAGGGGGGGGAGGGTGGCTTCTCCTTCAAACGACAACACTCTCTTTTGCTTTGACGTCACGCAACTACTCAACCATCACCACCTCACGCACGCACACACACACGCACACACAGACACACACACACACACCAGCACCACCACACACGAGGACTGTGATGGCGAACAGAGAGCGGAGAGGGGTTGTTGGGTGGTAATAAGAGCACAGATATAGAACACTTAGTATTGATATCCTCTCTATGTCAGATTCTACCAGACGGATTCGAAGTGCGACACCAAAATAAGGGGGGAGAGTGGGGGGGGGGGGCTGCTCTGAACCAACAACTGTACATCTGTGTAACAGGGAACCGTAAAAACTGCAAGTGCTCGTCGGCCATCCGAGCTACCGCTAACAAGAGCTAAACCAACAGGCTGGAAAAGGAGGAAGAGGAGGAAGATTTAGAGAGAAGACGAAGCTCTTGAATAATCCGGACTCGGTTCTGGATCCTCCGGCCTGTGAGAACAGAGCCGATCCTCGCTTCACTTTCCAGGTGAGATCCGGCTGATTCCACGTCCATCAGCAGATCCACCTGACAAACAATCCTTCCATCCCGTCTTACAGAAAGAGAAAAGTGTTTCAACAATGTTGTTTCCTATTCTTAAGAGTTTGATTGGCAGGTTTTCTGGGTGAGACGGCCCAGACCCTCCCTTCTGTTGACTCCTGATGTGGATCCTGAGCTCAGGATCTTTGCCTCTTCCTGGATCAGAACATGGGCATGCTGAAACCCTAAAAACATGGAGAGAGGGAGAGAGAGAGTGTCAGACGATCTTAAACGGAAAAGGTCTCAGAAGGTCTGCTTTTCTTTTATACCACTAGAGGACGCTAGAGTTGAAAAGTTCACATTCTACACATTGTGTCTTTAAAACAGAATCAAATCACTGACGGTATGAAACTTATTTTAGATGACTGATTAGCACATTGGGCTGAAACTAACAATTGTTTTCACTAATCTTAAAGGGGACCTATCATGCAAAATGCACTTTTGTACGTCTTGTATACATGAATATGTGTCCCCGGTGTTCCAGGGAACTCACCAAGTGTCAGAAAACACAACCCTCTCTATTTTCCTCCATACCCAAATCTCTAAAAAAGGGGCTGCAACAGATCTGATAAAAGCTGATCCAGATTTGAACACTGTCCTGACGTCAGGACGGTGGCGCTACGGCTATTGGGCCAACTCCACCAATCAGGAGGAGACAGCCACGGCCATTGCCGTTCGAAAGCGCTGGAGACGCTGTAGTACATATGCCAGGCCTCTAGATGGTGCTGTTCTCACAGAATCAGCCCTTGCAAAAACAGAGCTAGAAAATGTCAAATTGAGCAAAATGAGGCATGGCTAAAATGCATGATCTGTTTGGTATTTTGAAAAAGAAAAAGTATAAATATGCCTTATATAGGTATGGTCCTACACTATATTATTCAAATATAGCATGATAGGTCCACTTTAAGTCAAACATGTCCATTAAAATGTTCCAGAGCCTTAAATGACATTTTAATAAATATTCAGACTTTCATTGAGAGTATAAAAACAAACAAACTCAAAGCTCACATTTTGAGGCTGGAAGCAATTCTTCTTTACATTTTAGCTTGTACAAAATATTACAATTATTGATAGAAGAAAGGATTTATTTTGTGTAAGTTGGCTAATCAATTAAAGGTAGGGAAACCGGCTCGAGATACACTTTTTGTTATATTCCATGGAATGCTCTTAACATCCCGATAGCAATGAATATCTTAAGTGCTTTGACAAAAAATCCATAAAAAAAATTCATCTGTGGAAGCCGTAATACTGTAAAAAGTACGACCAATCATTTTAGCCGGCCTGGCTAAAATAACTGGATGGCCTACCTGCCTGTCAGCCTTCCATCTGTGCACAAACTTATCTCGTGCCCTCATTGGTCATGTGCGCGTTCGTGTGTGTTGGAGGAGGGGCTCTGTAAGGAAGTGGCAGATTTTCTCCGGTTGTGTATTTTCAAATTCTAGCGCACTCGAGCTGGTTTCTCAAACTTACCTACCCCACCTTTAACGGCCTAATTGTTTGAGCTGTTCTTACTTTCCCGAGTCAAATTGTCAACGTTTTACTCACCGACTCGTCCTCAATCATCGCTGCAGAGTCAAAGAAGTCTGGTCTTAATTCTGCTCTTTCACGTCTGTTCCTCGATGGCGGCTGGGTAGGAAGAAAGACAAAATAAGACAAAATTGAATTAAAAAGACAATAATGACTAAACACAATGCTCCTATCTTTATTTGCCCTAAATGAAAGGCCCTGGGAGAAAGTGGCGTCACTGACCAGGTCGATCACCATCGTGTCCTCGAACTCCTCGTTCATGTCCTCCAGCTGTCCTCGCGATGACATCATCACGTCCTCGAAGATCGGCTCTGCGTCATCCTCCATCAACCCACGCCTGACGGGAAATCATTAAGAGAGAAAACACAAAACACACCGTTTACAATCTTTTTATCTCAAGCTCTTTATTCTTTAAAGGTCACCTATTATGCAAAATCCACTTCTTCATGTCTCTTCTACATAAACACGTGTCCCCTCTTCTTCATGTCTCTTCTACATCACCATGTGTCCCCTCTTCTTCATGTCTCTTCTCCATCAACATGTGTCCCCTCTTCTTCATGTCTCTTCTACATCACCATGTGTCCCCTCTTCTTCATGTCTCTTCTACATCAACATGTGTCCCCTCTTCTTCATGTCTCTTCTACATCACCATGTGTCCCCTCTTCTTCATGTCTCTTCTACATCAACATGTGTCCCCTCTTCTTCATGTCTCTTCTACATCAACATGTGTCCCCTCTTCTTCATGTCTCTTCTCCATCAACATGTGTCCCCTCTTCTTCATGTCTCTTCTACATCACCATGTGTCCCCTCTTCTTCATGTCTCTTCTACATCAACATGTGTCCCCTCTTCTTCATGTCTCTTCTACATCAACATGTGTCCCCTCTCTTTTTCTCCTGATCCATTTATATAAAAACCTGTCTGAAAATGAGCTGATCAGATTTTGGCCACTTTATGATGTCATAACGATGTGTTGGCTTGTGTAACCATTAGCCAATCACCAACCAAGGTAACCCCCCCCCCCCCCCCCTTATCACCTGAATCTCCTCCTAGAGCACCATTGTGTTCTTTTTAACCAAATATCTCTCAGAGGGGCGTGGGGAGGGGCTCCTTATTTTCATCTAAAGTAACAGACAGAGAATCAGCACTTTGGAAACAGGGCTGAAACAGAGGGGATTATGGGATGCTGCAATGATCTGTTTGGTGTTTGGAGCCAAACACTTCAGAGACACGTTTGTATATATCTGAGACCTGTAATATATTGATGAAAAACAGTATAATAGGGGACCTTTAAAAAAGAACTAGTAATGGAGGCATCAAACGTCATCAGTTTTCTAGCCGGTTCGATTCTTACACAGTCTGCCGGACGCCCTGGTTGCTGCGCGCCTTGATGTAGTTCATGCCCGTCCGGTCCTTCCGGTTCACCTCCTCCATCTTCTGCTGGCCGAGCCACGACATCTGCATCTGAGGACTGGAGACAACACAGGGTCAACATACTGTACCTTCAAAAGACTTCTATGAACTTGGTATAACAAGGAGGCGGAGCTACATCAGTGATGAACAGGTTTACAGTCAGGTGTCAATGTGTAGGTGGATGAGAAAACGGTAAATCGTGAACTTTGTTTGATTTAAAAAAAAAAAAAATGTGTGTAATGTGTCTTTCAGTACTTACAAAAGTGCTATATAATATGTATGTATGAATGTAGTTATGGTGTATAATTCCAGACTATTATTTATGCTTATTGGTAAATAAGTGTATGTACAGTACATAACCTGTCTTCCTTTTGTACGCTTTGGGATAGAAGTGAAAATAAAACCGAAAACTTGGTACCAATTTCTGTGAGTTTTCAAAACTTTTTGGATTTGATGTTTTTCAAGCAACGTTCCAGGCTTAAAAACAGCTATTTCCAGGACTTTTCCAGTTGCTTTAAGACCGTAGGAACCCTGACTTTGATGTTAAAGTGTACTTCTATCATGTGTTTTCACTCACTTGTGGACGAAGTCGTTCTCCGAGCCGGGTTCTGAGTCCGGGTCGGGCAGGTGTTCTGCGGGTCTGTTCTCTCTGAGCACGGTGGAGGTGAGCTGAGGCGTCTGCAGCGCCCCCGGTGTCGGCAGGGTGTCGTTACGCAGCAGCCACGAGCTGTCAACACTACTCTCTTCTGAAAAATGTAGAGAGCTCATAAACACAACAGCAGATAACCATGAACATGTCTCATTTCCCAAAACAGATTAAACACGGTATAATGAACTAGAAAATACAGAGACATTTTGACTGTGTGACTGAAACTTGGGTGCGCATCCAGATGCTAACATTACCCCCGCTTTGTAAGTATTAAGAGCATTAGTTTTATTGTTAAGGTACAACAAAGAATATCCATTAATTTCCGCTCACTTTTAGACTATTTTAACTGTTTATCTATTACATTTTTGGATTCTTGTACCACATTCCTGCATCGTTTCTGCATGGTGTGTTCAAAGATCAAAGCGTTTCCACGGCAACGCCCTGCCAGTGAACGAGAGACACCCTGACAGAGAATGTATTGACAATATTGCGCAACGGCTAGGCGAATCTCTTATAAAAGACATAGCAACCCGACCCCGGTCATTCCGCACGTTTTGATGTGTGTTTTGTGTGTTTCGTGTCAATGCTGCCGGACGAGTAGCGTGACGACATTTGTGGCGGAAGAAGGAGAATAAGATGAGATAAGTATGTAGAATACTAGATACTTCGCCAGTCACAACAAATCTGTGTGCGTGTGTCCCCTCACCCTCGATGCGCTTCTTGTGCACTGCCGGCCGGGCCTTCTTGCTGCGCACGGAGGCGGCCTTGCTGCTGGAGCCCGATGTGACGGACATGAGGTCCTCGTCCCCGCCCGTCAGCAGGCTGTTCCTGTAGGAGATCAGCGGCAGCCACACGTCCTCCCGGCGCTCCGACATCGAGTCCAACATGAACTTCTCCAGGTACGAGTGGCTGAGGAGCATTTCAGCACGATTCATTTAATTTGAAATGAAGTTATGGATGTTTTCAGTGACAGAATGAGGTTCGCCTGACGTAACAGAAAGATGAAAGGGAGTACTTACACCGTCTTTTTGTCTTGGCGGATGAGTTTAGAGGAGAATTCACTGAGAACCTCCAGGAAGGCCAGGTTGAGGGGAGGAAACTCGGTTCCTCGAGGATTCGGGTACTTAAATGCAAACTCTATTCCATCCCTGATACAAGAGAGAGCAAGAGGTAGAAAGTGGAGACAGAACAATTCATTAGGAGTGAGAAAGACAAAGAAGGAAAGTCAAAAAGAAATGGAAGGCAGAAGAAAAACGAGCGTCTGACACCAAAAGATATTTTTAAATTGCTGCCACTAGTTTTATTGTTTTTTTAGTTATTGCCTTATATAAATATGTCTTATATACATATTTATGTTGCATTTGAGCCGAGATCTTAATTGCACAACTACACTGTTCCTGTGTATATGACAAATAAAACCTTTGAAGAAAGCTCGACTTCAGACTTTCCCAAGGCTGAAATAAAATATGTTTTTTTTCCTCAGGATAGAAGAAACTCAGGCCTCTTCCTCACAGCATCCTATGTTTGTAATGGAGGCTATAATACTGAACATTCTCAATGAACTCCAGATTATTCATTTGTTTACACCTGTGAAAAGGTTATAACATATTTTGCTAATTTATTCTGACTTGAGTTGCATTTAAGAATCGTGATAGGAATTAGCTTCTTCAAAAAGTTGTATCGAAATAAAAATATGGTAATTTGTAAATTCTTATACGACATTTTTACATAGATTTTAATCAGCATCACTAAATTGCAGCCCAGTCATCTGTACACTTTCTAATTGATGTAAAGCTGAGAGGATATCAACTTCCATGACTGAACATCAGAGGTGGGAAGTAGTGAAGTACAAATACTTCGTTACTGTACTTAAGTACATCTTTCTGGTATCAGTACTTTACTCCACTACTTATTTTCTGCCGACTTTTTACTTTTACTTCTTACATTTTGAACCCAAATACCTGTCCTTTCTACTTCTTACATTTTCCAAACAGGCTGGTTCCTTTAGTTTGAATGTGTGCTTGGTGGCGTGATCATTATTATTTAGAGTCATTGCGTGCCTATTGATTTGAACACGATCCGTGTATCCATCATTTCCTGGTCTTCTCTAAAGAAGAGGGACCAATGAAAACGTTGTCATGTTGCCGTTGTTCAGCATGGAAACATTCATTAGCTAACAATGACATTATTGTTCTATTAATATAAAGGGAGGTCAGGTACTCTTTAAAACAGCTGCTAGTTATGGGTACTTTTTACTTAACACTAGAACCGCCAATCGGGTCAATTTGACCCAGAGCTGTTTATTATTGTGTGTAACTTTTTTTCAATAAAATATTAAAGTCTTCCAGTTCGTCACTTTTCCTGAAAGTGTGTTATGTAGCACCCTATGTTGTTAAAAATTGTCAATATGAAGTCAGATTGAAGAAATCGCCCAAAAAATTGCCATTATACCTATTTCCGCCCAGCGGGTCATATTGACCCCACCCCTTTTCATATAAACATGACATGTTGCTATAGCAACGCCTTTTGTCTACTGCGGTTCCTTATAGATTGAGAGATAGATTGAGAGAGAGAGAGATAGATGGATAGATATATTGATAGATAGTTATAGATAGAGAGAGAGAGAGAGATAGAGACAGTCTGTAGTGAAGGAGTGCGCTGCCGCTCACGGGAGACTGCTCGCGCTGCGCTCCGCAGCAAACAGCTGTGGGGCGAGTTGAAAGTACGTTATGCTGGCCGCGGTGTCTAAATAATGCTTCCGGGCCAGCGGGCCATTTATAATGTCGAGCCCTGTCATATGAAAAGCTGAGAGTCCACAGATTATATTGGTATACGTTTCATCCCTGTGCAATCAAAACTCACTGTTCAATAAAAGAACATTTTACCTTGAAAATCAATGCATTCTAATAGCGGCTCAATTTGACCCAGGTGGCGGTTTTAGGTATACAAAATCTCTGGCGGTTCTAGTGTTAAGTACATTTCAAAGCCCTCTTTACTTTTACTTGAGTAAAGAAGTTTAGTCAGTACTTCTACTTTTACCAGAGTATCTTTAAACACGAGTATCTGTACTTCTACTTGAGTAAAGGATGTGTGTACTTTTGCCATCTCTGCTGAACATACTGTATATATAATCTAATGCACGTTCTTTCCGTCTGATAAACGCTGTGAGTCCAAACACAGCCTCAGGTCTTACTTGTGCAGCGTGGCCACCGCCTCTCTGGTCTTGATCTGGTCGAGGCCGAAGGTGAGGGCGAAGCGGCGGGCCAGCTCCTTGATCCCGCTGACGTGAGAGGAGGTGCGGTCCAGAGTGGGGCCCTGGTCCTGAAGCAGCTCGTTGAACAGCTGGAACACACAAGACGACACAGTGTTTGTGGGTTTGCATTGATGAAAGCTCTCATCACTTAAACATCTCCTATCATGATATTTTAAGGCATATATTATGGGTCTCAGATATATACAAATATATAAAAAACATGTCTATGATGTGTTTTGCTCAAAATACCAAACAGATCATGCATTTTAGACACCCCTCTATTTCAGCCCTGTTAGAAAAGTGCTGATTCTGGGTCCTTAGCGGAAGAGGGGGAACTTGTGCCTGCTCAGAATTACACGGCAGATTCAGCTAAATGCGGGATGAAACGCCATCATGTTCCAAACCACATCAAGGATTATTTCTGAAACAGTATTGAGCTCAAATGCTTTTTCTCTCTCAGGTTTACCACAAGGTGAGTTCCTTTTTATTTCCTGCTTTCTTACACATGCTCTCTCCAGTACAGGTTAGCTCTGAGTGTTAGCGATGCTAATGTAAACAAAGACCATATTACGTCCAAAACAGTCAGGCATTGTTTCTGATAGCGACGTTTCTGATAGGCCCGTGGGTCCACATTTCCGATATTACGTCATATCGGACGCAAATCTGGATCAGCTCCGTTGTTCCCCCGTTTTTAGAGATTTGGGTACGGAGGAAAAGAGAGAGGGTTTGGTTTTCTGACACTTTGTGAGTTCCCTGACACACCGGGGACACATATGTATGTATAAAGGACAGGAGTGCATTTCGCATGATAGGAGACCTTTAAAGAATGCGATATGTTGTCATGTGATGTTGTTGAAGCCTCACCTGCTGCAGACTGAGGATGAGCGTCTTGGCGCACTGAATCTTGTCCGTCTGTCTTGTTTTACTCAGAGTCTCCTTGATGATGTCGCCGTAATCATTATAATACTGAAGCAGAGAAAACAAAACATGCGGTTAACAACAAGCAAGGGGACAGTTTAGTGCATTTATTATGATATCCTTTACAGGTTTACATCATCAACCTGATTTATGTGCAGAGAATTTCAGGTTGATTTGTTGTTTTCCTTGATTTTCTTATTTATTTCCATTGAATAAGAACTCCTTTATTTTGTAATTATTGCATTAATTCATTTCTATGCTTTTATCTCGCTGCAAACCAACACATTTTTACAAAGATAAATCCGAGAGCAGTCATATTTTTCACATTTAACCCTTATGTTGTGTTCGGGACGGGTCTCCCGTTTCAAGTTAAAATGATATAATAACTACGCTGTATCAGAACAAGGCTTCATGATATCCTCCACAACAGATATATAAACACTACAAAACTGATTTTGACCATTTTTGCCAAGTCTGAAGGTCTCTAAAAAAAAAAAAGTGTATAATTTGGTGTTCTGGTCTGGGGAGACCCAGCAGAATTGTTTTGGGTGACTCGAGGTCAAATTTGGCCCAATCAAGATTCATCTTTGACTTTAGAGACCCCTCCCCCAGCCCCTTCATCCACTGTAACAATAATTGTTCGCAACATGCACCTGGTCTCCCCTCCCTCTCCCCCCACGGGAACTCCACCTTTCATAAAGAATATGTACACTAACACTTGAACCTGAACTCACATATGCACGTGTGCAATATGTGGTGTAATATGTTTTGGGGCCATGACGTTAAATTACAACAGGATTGTACGGTTATGAATGCATTATAAGTTAGTTATGATGTAGTTAAAACAATATTGGATGATAGTCATTTTCTTTTTGTGTTTTGGACTGAGATAAATCATGGGTCAAAATTGACCTGCGAACACCATGAACGGTCACAGCTTTTGAACACAACACAAGGGTTAAGAAGACCCCAAAATGTTACACTATTTTATAATGATATCATGTTAGGACCTCAAAGATTTGCTAAGGGACAATGCGGCAAAATCAGTTTGAGTATTTTGACTCGAGAATAAAGATCTTTCACTGTCTTTTAACACTTATAATCTTATCCTAAACTCCTAATCTGCCGACTTCCAACTTGTATCCGTTTCATATTGCAATTTATTTTTATTTTATATTGATTATTTCAGTGTTTATGTAAAGAACAGTCACCTTCATGTAGTGTTTGAAGATGTCGGCCGCAGCGGGCATGTCTACGATGTCGAAAATGATGAGTTTGCAGAAAGCTGCGAGCAGATTTCTCCTTTTGTGGAGAGCCTCGATCTTATTGGCCTCGTCCTCCTCGTCTCCCTCTGCAGTTGGGAGGAAGTTAGAAGTGAAGAGGAGAAGAAGGAGCGGGAGGAAGAGAAAAGATGAGGTAAAAATCAAATGAATTGTGTTGATCTTTAAAAAGGTCCCCTATTATACTGTCTTTCATCAATATATTACAGGTCTCAGATATATACAAAACATGTCTCTGAAGTGTTTGGCTCCAAACACCAAACAGATCATTGCAGCATCCCATAATCCCCTCTGTTTCAGCCCTGTTTCCAAAGTGCTGATTCTCTGTCTGTTACTTTAGATGAAAATAAGGAGCCCCTCCCCACGCCCCTCTGAGAGATATTTGGTTAAAAAGAACACAATGGTGCTCTAGGAGGAGATTCAGGTGATAAGGTGGGGGGGGGGGTTACCTTGGTTGGTGATTGGCTAATGGTTACACAAGCCAAACAATCGTTATGACATCATAAAGTGGCCAAAATCTGATCAGCTCATTTTCAGACAGGTTTTTATATAAATGGATCAGGACAAAAAGAGAGAGAATCTTTGTTCCTGAAACTTCCAGAGTCTCTTTCCACAGAGGGGACACATGTTGATGAAGAAGAGACATGAAGAAGAGGGGACACATGTTGATGTAGAAGAGACATGAAGAAGAGGGGACACATGTTGATGTAGAAGAGACATGGAGAAGAGGGGACACATGTTGATGTAGAAGAGACATGAAGAAGAGGGGACACATGTTGATGTAGAAGAGACATGAAGAAGAGGGGACACATGTTGATGTAGAAGAGACATGAAGAAGAGGGGACACATGTTGATGTAGAAGAGACATGAAGAAGAGGGGACACATGTTGATGTAGAAGAGACATGAAGAAGAGGGGACACATGGTGATGTAGAAAAGACATGAATAGCATATTTGCATAATAGGTGACCTTTAACAGTATTTAATTATTATGTATTTCCTTAAACGTCATTGGACTCTCACCCATGCTCTGACTCTCTTCGTCCTGGTCGATGAAGACGTGGTCCAGGACGAAGTTGAGCAGCTCGTTCTGCAGAGTGCCGTCCGGGTTGAAGACGAGCGGCTGGAGCCCCTCCCTGCTGCCGGAGGCCAGCTGGTGACTGAAGATCGTCAGCAGGTCGCAGAGCAGCATGAACGCCTGATGCAGGAGCAAATGAAGGGTTGGGATTTGAGTAAAAAAACCTACCTCAAGTCATCATTCTCACCATGGCCTTTGACCCCTAACCCATCACAGTCCCCTACTGCTAGTTTGTTTGTTCACCATGTAAAGCGGCCTTGGGTCCCTTGAAAGGCGTTATACAAATGTAATCTATTATTATTATTATTACTGTCTATTCTACCTATTCCTTTACTAGTAACTAGCCTTTTAGCATAAACAAATGGGGAAACAAATACATTTGAAAGCAATTGAAACAAAAAACTATTTCCCAGAGTAACTCAACAACAAATGTCAAAATATGAAAAATGACAGACGAAAATACAGGGAAACATTTCAATGATTTTTTAACACTACAATTATTTTTGCTATCTGTCTATCCTTCTATATCCTCTCCAGGATTACATATCAAACCTCAAATTGTCATATATCACAAAATGTGACAGTCGTGTCTTGCACTAATGTACATTCCCAAAGATATTGAAGTGACTGTTATTTTGTATATTGATTGTTGTGTTTTCATCTTAATGTGTGCATATGTATAGATGTGTCTGTTGATTGTGTATATATAGGATATACATATTTTATCAATATTTGTATTTTTGTATTCGGGATTGTGTGAAACGGTATTTCGATCTCTCTGTCTGTACAACTGAAAGATTGACAATTAAGTTGACTTTGACTTGATGAATTGTAATGAAAGCTGTACACTGTTTATAAGTTAAAATTGTTCACCTGTTCTCAACACACATTTATTCTTCACTAAAGGTGTGCGCAGCTTGTTTCAGATGGCTTTTGTTACCTGCTCTTTGACCATTGTGTTGACGTTGGACAGGCACTGCTGGCACACAGCCAGGAACGACTTCACCACTCTCCTGAGAGCCAACATGTCCTCCTGCACACACACACACACACACACACACACACACACATCATAAGTGTCACAAATAATGAGCAGCCACACTAGCAGATAAACAAAAAGAAAATCGTTATTAGGTACAGTTCGAACAGTGACACGCACACACACACACGCACACACACACACACACACAACACACACACACACACAACACACACACACACACACACACACACACACACACACACACACACACACACAACACACACACACACACACACACACACACACACACACACACACACACACACACCACACACACACACACACACACACACACACACACACACACACACACACACACTAAAACCAGCAGCATTTTGCCTTAGTAAATATCTTATTAAACATTATGCTTCCTCCTGCTCCTTTTCGGACACTTATAATTAATTATTATTATTTTTGTTGAATATATAAATATTGTTTGACACAAAAAGTGTTGTGTTCTACCAATACAGTATTCTGTTTTTAAATAATCTGTTCGAAATAAAGGTGGAAATAAAATAAGTAGTGGAATAAAGTACTGATACCAGAAAAATGTACTTAAGTACAGTAACGAAGTATTTGTACCCCACTACTTCCCACCTCTGGTCAAATAAGTGATTAGCTAAGGACAGAAAATGTATCTACAGGTAAGTATTATTCAGGATCCATGTGTCACCTTGCTGGGAGAGCCCTCTGTGACCTTCACCAGCTGCCAGAGGACGGAGTAGTGCGAGCACTGCAGGGCCTGCACGGCGATCTGCTCCGGCATGGAGCCCTGCTCGATGCCCGCCTTCAGCAGCCGGTAGCAGCTCCCAAATAAATCCCACCGGGTCAGGTCATGGGCGCTGAAACAGGAAACAAGAGGTCAATAAATCACATTCATAGAGTATCTGTCATTTAGCTTTAATGAAGTGATATCCAGTGCTTTCAGTCAGTTAACATAACAGTTTCTCTTCTCTTACTTGTGGAAGGCTGTGAGTCTCTTGAGCGTAGATAAAACGTTGTAGATATCGTCGTCATCGGCCTCCTCCGCCTGCAGAATAACAAACACCTGTTAGTGCACAAAGACTACGGATGCTGGGGTCATATGCGAGGATGCTGGATATAAATTGGTCTGATGAATTATGGGAAATGTTATATTATTAAATTAAATGTTATTATAATTTTCTTTCATTGACATAACAAGCACCTTCAAAATGGTTTAGTCCACAACTTTAGATGAATAGAACATCATTAAAATTAGCATGTTAGCAAGTGTGAAGTGTTTTTGTTAACAAGTCAATTGCATTTGGTTAGATCAGAGCTTTGCGATCATACATTCTCTTTGATCACTCACATATTCTCTGAAGAGAATTTCACCAAAATGTGAAATGATGGATTAAATATCTAATGAATGGTTCATTATATCAGATAATAAAAAATCATATCAGGCATCCCTAGTTATGTGTTACTACCTTTATACTTAAGAATTCCATACCTCTAATTGTCCACACTTCCTGTGCATCTTGCGGCTTCACTTCAAAGACATTAAGTGCTTACTTTTACACCTGCATCTGCACCAACCCCTGCTTCTCTTCCCTCATACCTCCCCATATCCATATCCACTCATACCTCCTGCAGCAGATCCTCCACGGAGTGAGAGAAGCGGTCGGTCATCTCGTCGATGAGCTGCGAGCGGGCGATGTCCACGCGGTTCATGATGGTGTACTCCTCGGAGCAGAGGATGCTGTAGGTCTTACTGCAGGCCTCCAGCACGTCCATCTCGATGTGCTTCTCCACCACCAGGCGGATCTGCTTCAGCAGGGCGTCCAGGTGCTTCTCCATCCGCCCGGCGCTGTACACGTCCAGGTCGAAGAACTGAGGGATCTGCAGCAGGTTGGCCACCTTCTCAGAGTCCGCCTGGTACTGTGAGGAGATGGAGAGGGGAGAAACAGATAATCAGGACATCAGAGTCTACACACCTTCCATCGCAGACTGAAAACCACGGCCATTTCTTCCTATAGGCGGACTATGTGGATACATAGGGCCCCCGCAGCCACTAGGGGGCCCCCAAGCTGAAAGTTCAGGTCCAGCCTCAATATATTTGGAGAATTAAAATTAGCCATCTTTATTTGTAGACAGCTAAGCCCCCTCCTGTGTTCGGTGAAGCATTATATGCTTAAAATCAAATGTAGGATATAAACACAACTAAACTGCAATGATAGCAAAGCTGTGGCTTGTGTTTGTGGGGTAATAACGTCCAAATCATCCCTGGGCTGTCAGCCAATGAGTGACGTCTGAGGAAGATGAAAAATGTAAATTAAACATTGTTGAGAAAATGCTGCATCTCTTGCATTTATTGACGTAGAGGAGCCTTATTGTTTACCCTTTTTAATATAATTTGATAAAGTTTCAATTGCTTGGTTTTCGTGAAATTAGCCTGTTTTCCTCTTAAAGTGTAACAGATTGATGCGTCTCCACAGATCAAATAGGGCCCCCAAAAAGCTAGGAACGGCCCTGCTGAAAACTCACTTGTTTCCACTGCATCTTAAATTATCATTCATGTTTGTTGATTTGTGAAGCGCTCTGAGACAAATGTGTTTTGTGATATTGGGCTATATAACTACATTTGAATTGAATTGAATCATAATAATAATAATTTAACAAGAAAAATGATCTTCTGTACGTAGGTTTGGCTTTGAGTGAAGCTAATGCAGTGGCACTTCATCTGGTTGGGTTTATAGATAGGAGATGTACCTGCAGGATTCTTGCTTTTGAGTTTGTTTCTCGACTTACAATGAACTTATTGTAAGTCGCTTTGGATCAAAGAGTCAGCACAATGTACTGTAATGTAATCAATATGATGTATAGCTTATAATACTTCATAAAAAAGCCTTCTGCAGCATAGTTGTATATCTCTTTTAAGGTCAAATGAGTTGTCAGGAAACATTAGGCGCGTTCACACCAAGTACTTTGCCGTATTTAGTGCTGGCACTTAATGCCCCGGCACTTATTACCCCAGGGCATTTAGTACAGATTGCGTTCACACCGGAATAAATTCCCTGAGGGAAGATTATGCAAATGAGCCTGAGTCGAAACATTTCAGAGTTGTACGGGGCGTGGTTTGCAATTCGCCCAGCCAATCAGAACTGGGGCAATTTTTTCCCCCAGGAAAGTACCATCTCTTAGCAGGCACTAAAAATGGGGGTAAAAGTTCCCGAGATGAAGTGCTCTTTTTGGTGTGAATGCGACATAAGGGGTACTAACGGAACTAAATGCGAAAAGTACGGTGAAAAGTACTCCGGTGTGAACGCGGCTATTACATTACATTACATTACTTGTCACTTGTTAGACTCTTTTATCCAAAGCGACTTACATACTCAATACTGTGGCCAATCCCCACAGGAGCAATTTGGGGTGAAGTGTCTTGCCCAGGGACACAATGACATGCTGATTGCAATGGGGTTTGAACCTGTGACCCCCTGGAGTTTTACAGTTTTACAGTTTTTTTCAACTCTTCAACTCTTCATCTTAAAATAACAAAGCTTTGAGGTGCTTTTTGTAAAAGACTGAATGGGCTTTAATTACATAATGAATCAGATAAGCGTCCTGACAATGTGAATTATTCCAGAAGCACCGCTACTAGTGCATCAGATAAGTTAGCACATTGTAAAATAGAGAAAAGCTGAGAAATGGGTTGCTCTGATGCTCATTTACCGGGATCTATACAGAAAAAAAGTCACAAGCCGACATTCAGATGCAGAAAAGACAAAAAACAAACCCATCAATCTCTTTTTTTGTTTCCCAGTTAATAAAACAGACAAGTATTTGGCCAGCCCACCTCTCCAGATTGGCTTTCATTCAATAACACTCCTCATGGCTATATAAATAACACCCTGATCAATTATTTGGACAAACAGATCAGTCACTCCGCCGCCTGTTAATCAGTGTCTGCTGCAGGATGAGCTTCATAGAGGTTTTACCTTGGACAGCAGCATGGGCAGCGCCATGATGTAGTGCTCTGTCAGTTTGTTCTTATCGTCTATCTGCGTCTTCCTCTCCTTCGCTGTCAACACCTGGACAAGCAGAATGTCAAATGTGTAAAAAAATGCATGAAAAAGGGAAATAAACAGGGATTTTCTGAGTCTTCTGTTCTTTCATTGTGACCAAGAAAGTTGTTCATGGATAGAACAAATACATCTGTTTTGCAATCTCAGCATGTATTCATAAATGTGCCGAAGCTTGCTGACAAGAAATACACACTTTCATTTTGAACTTTGAGCACTTGAATTGAACACTTAAGCCGGTTACACACAGGTGGTGTTTTTAGAAATTGTGTCAATTTAACGCTGAATTAATCTATGAATGAAAAACAGAAGGTGTCTGAACCAAGGGGGGGAGAATTGTATTATTCTGAAACACTGAAAATATGAAGAAAACCATCTGTAAAAAAAAGTCATGTGAAAATCTATTCTTTGAAATTGGCATATTAAGACATCTACATTCATTTAGTAACCAAGGACAATAGCACCGGACTGCTATCTCAACACAACTGTGTCAATATGTGTACAGTTAAAGTGAATTCTGGTAGTACAGTGTGTATACTCGACCTACCCGTTTGCCGGTGCCTCTGCCGACCGGTGGGTGAGCCTCTGCTGCCTGACGGAGGGTGCACACCATCAGCTCTATCAGAGCGCTCTCCTGTCTGTCCGACAACACTGCAAACACAGGAGGAGAGAGTCAGAGAAACCAGTCAGAGACATGACAGAGAGTCAGAGAAACCAGTGAGGAGACAATACAGAGAGTCAGAGAAACCAGTCAGTGACATGACAGAGAGTCAGAGAAACCAGTGTGGAGACAATACAGAGAGTCAGAGAAACCAGTGAGGAGACAATACAGAGAGTCAGAGAAACCAGTGAGGAGATAATACAGAGAGTCAGAGAAACCAGTGAGGAGATAAGACAGAGAGTCAGAGAAACCAGTGAGGAGACAATACAGAGAGTCAGAGAAACCAGTCAGAGACAATACAGAGAGTCAGAGAAACCAGTCAGAGACAATACAGAGAGTCAGAGAAACCAGTCAGAGACAATACAGAGAGTCAGAGAAACCAGTCAGAGACAATACAGAGAGTCAGAGAAACCAGTCAGAGACAATACAGAGAGTCAGAGAAACCAGTGAGGAGATAAGACAGAGAGTCAGAGAAACCAGTGAGGAGATAAAGCAGAGAGTCAGTGGTCATTATAGGTCAGGAACAGAGAGAGAGAATAAAAGACAACCAGAGAGTTTCAATTAGCAAGATTTCATGACATCATCTCTTCAATTCAAGATTCAAGGATTTTATTGTCATTGGTACATAGCTACAGTGTAGTTATGTAGTTATATGTGTAGAATGAAAATCTTAGGTCACAGGGTCCTCCAACAGTGCAACAGAACAACACAGATACAATAGTGTAAGTAAATACAAATAAAACAGAATAGAATAGAAATAGTTCTTAATATTCTAGCTGACATGGCTGTGATGTTGTGCTTGACGTGAAGAAGAGGCCTAAAGCTGTTTCACAGGGTTTAAGGAGAGAACAGTTTAATGTGTGTGTGTGTGTGTGTGTGTGTCGTACCCTCCTCTCCCTGCACAGGTTCCTCCAGCAGAAGCTCAGTCATACACTCCCAGTCCTTCAGCAGCTCCTGAGAGCTCTCCCACAGCGAGTCCACCAGGTATGCTGCGTGTTCATGGAGCTACGAACACACACACACACACACACACACACACACACACACACACACACACACACACACACACACACACACACACACACACACACACACACACACACACACACACACACACACACACACACACACACACACACACACACACACACACACACACACACACACACACACACACACACACACACACAAAATCAGGATTCTTATAATTCATATTCACAACTGTTATTGTTCTACAGAGCTGATTAAAAAAAAGCTTAATTATATAGTTTATTGTCTGTGACTGATGATTTTCTTCCTCTAATGTTGCAAGTGGGCCAGTTTCAAAAATACACCAACTCGCCAATAAAATAACACATATATTTTTAACTGCAAATATAAATTCTTCAGTTCATGCTCAGTTCATATCATCCATCATGTTGGAATCGTGTGTTACCTCGCTCTCCAGAAAGAAGAGCACCAGCATGCGGATGAGGTTTCCGTTGGGACTGCTCCTCCCTCTGCGCTTCGCCAACGCTTCCTCCGCCAGAGGGTCATGACGACTGAACAATCTGAGAGGGAGGAGGGAGAGAAGAGGAGAGGGAAATGTGAGAGAGATGAATAGACGTATCAGTGAGCAAAATGGAGGAAGAACAGGGAGAAAGGCAGATCTTCAAATCACTATAAAATGACAAATAGATCCGACTTAAATGAATCTCAACATTATTTCAAGTCAGAATTGTTTGAGGTTGAATTAGGAGATGGACTCACTTCCTGTGCAGGAACTCTCCGGCAGCTACTGCCACAGGTCGGTGGGCCGAGTAGACCAGGTGGTACACGTTCTCACAGTCCTCATTGGATAGGGCGTCTTCACTGCCCCTGCAACAGATCATCAAAATGAGTTACACTCAACACAAGAACACAAACCGACGTTTATGTCTCCTCAGTAAAAGACAGAGGTGGGAAGTAGTGGAGTACAAATACTTCGTTACTGTACTAAAGTAATGTTTCTAGTATCAGTACTTTACTCCACTACTTATTTTTCTGACGACTTTTTACTTTGACTTCTTACATTTTTAACACAAATACCTGTACTTTCTACTTCTTACATTTTTAACACAAATACCTGTACTTTCTACTTCTTACATTTTCCAAACAGGCTGGTTCCTTTAGTTTGAATGTGTGCTTGGTGGCGTGATCATTATTATTTAGAGTCATTGCGTGCCTATTGATTTGAACACGATCCGTGTATCCATCATTTCCTGGTCTTCTCTAAAGAAGAGGGACCAATGAAAACGTTGTCATGTTGCCGTTGTTCAGCATGGAAACATTCATTAGCTAACAATGACATTATTGTTCTATTAATATAAAGGGAGGTCAGGTACTCTTTAAAACAGCTGCTAGTTATGGGTACTTTTTACTGAAGTACATTTCAAAGCCCATACTTCTTTACTTTTGCAAGAAACTAAATGTGTTAAATCCAGGGTTCATACACTTTTTCCCCAATGCTTCTCCATGACTTCTCCATGACCTATACCTAATTTTCCATGACCAAAAACATGACTCTGTCTCAGCGGTCCCACTGAAAATGGTTTATTTTAACATGGAACAGGAAAATAAGGTCTGAAACATGTTGTGCCTATCTAAAACAAATCAAATAATAGGCTTACTAGCTTCTACACGCTAAAGCAACTAAAATCTCTCACCAGCAAAATACCTCGTCAGTTAAATGCCATTTTACGTTTCATTACTATACGATACAGTATTTATTATCATTATAGTATTACTATTTCGGCGATTAGATCAAATATAAATTATATTTGATGCAACTTTAGTTTCATTTCCCAAACTTTTCCAAAACTTTGGGAAAAATATTATTTTCCATAACTTTTCCAGGGCCTGGAATTAGCATTTTGAATTTCCATGACTTTTCCAGGTTTGTAATGACCATAAGAACCCTGTAAATCTATAAAGGAATATTTGTGAGGCTAAACGTGATGATCAGTAAACTGGCTTTGTAGAACAATCCTTAGTTCCTTGTTTATTAAAACACTGAATGCAAGGCAAGTTTATTTATATAGCACCTTTCAACACAAGGCAATTCAAAGTGCTTTACAAAAATGAAAGACATTAAGAAAATGGCATTTAAAAACAGCAAAGATAATAAAATAAACATTAAAAGCACATGCAGCCTGATCCCCATCTGAAGCATCTTGTCTAGTTATTGACTTGTGACCTTAGACGTGTACTTTTAATGGCTTGACATTTATGTGATCAATTATAAATGAATCTTGTTAAAAATAGAGCAACACTTCAGTCTGTGTAGGTACGGGAAAAAGGTTGAAAGCATTGAAGTGACTCACTGCAGGATGAGTGTGACCAGTCTGATGGCCTCCACCGCCACATCATACTCCTTATCCAGCGTCATGGAGACGATACGGTCCTGTCGAAACAGAGAGAAATACAGGAATAAGTCAACTGAAATGCAACACAATCTAAGCATTGCTCAGTTCTGCTCTTGAGTATGTAAAAGCAGTCAGGATTTCTCGTTGTGTGTTACCTTGAAGCGGTTGGTGAAAAGCTCTAACTTTGGGAACAGCTCTCGGTTTGTGTACAGGTTCTGCAGAGCCTTCAGGCACTTCAGACGCACCTCTCCTTGCTGAAAGATAGAGCGGCCATTAAAAGGCTATTCTTTCTTTGTGTGAACATTATCAAAACCATTGAATGAGTTTAGTGTCGGGGCACACACTGGAAAAAATGCTACTCCAAAAACAATTTAAACAATAATGAAAATAAGCCGTTTTCACTTCAAATATGTTAAAAAATCGGCCAATAGAACGAGGGAAAATCTGCTTGGTAAGATTTCTTAAAATAAGAAGGGATATTTAGATAACTACTTTTGACCTATATTTGACCAGAATCAGGAAATGTTGTGTTACACTATAACCCGCAAATACTCAAAAGTGTTCTGTGTTCTGATGTTAGTTGGTGATTTTCTAATAAATATGTAAAAAAATATGTGTTTCATCTGAGATACAACTCAAAATAAGATTTTTTGACTTAACAAGATGATGCATTGTCTAAAAACAAGAGCCGATATCTCACTGCAGTGTTACTTCTGAAGTTATTATGTCTTATATCAGGTGTAGACACATATTCTGACTAGATATTACACAAATATACTTGGCAAGATTTCAAGTGTTTGTGGTGCATTAACCTTGTTTAAAAAAGTGCGAGGGGAAATAGCTCAGTCAGATGTGATGGATGTGTTCTTACCCTATCGTGTAGTGTCCAGCCAACATACTTCAGGTAACTGTCATTAAGAAAAGCATCGCTGTACATTTTCATCCACACTCCAATCTCTTCAATACAGATGGCTCGGATTTCAGCAATCGCATCCCTAGAAAACCAAGAGTAGCACAAAAACATTATTATTATCAGTTTAAGAATTGTTATTACATTTATAATGGTGAAAAACAAGTCTCCGAACGGCTATGATAGACAACATATGACAAAAGCTGATCATGTCTGGTTAGTAATTCATTTGAACATGTAAGTAACATTATCTTCTAGAAGTTACAAACAAATCAATACATCAAATTAAATCAAATGTACCTGTAGCGATGCACAAAGATTCCCTTGAAGATCGAGTTCATCATATTCTCTATTTCATCCTGATTTTCTTGAAGCTGCAACGACAAAAATGCAAAGTTTTACTACAAGAGCGTGATGAAAAACATAAGAGAAAATCTTAGGAAATGTTGGCATCTACTACCAACGTCATGACAAGTAATGATCACACAAGACAACATGTTATATTGCTGCAAAACCAAAATAAAAAATGTGTAAGATATGAGAAACAAACCATAAAATACTCAGTTAAGCAATGGTTTCACGACTATGTGTTAAAAACTCTGCGTGAAAAGCTTTAGTTATTTAAAGGTCCCCTATTATACTGTTTTTCATCAATATATTATAGGTCTCAGATATATACAAAACATGTCTCTGATTGGCTCCAAACACCAAACAGATCATTGCAGCATTACCCATAATCCCCTCTGTTTCAGCCCTGTTTCAAAAGTGCTGATTCTCTGTCTGTTACTTTAGATGAAAATAAGGAGCCCCTCCCCACGCCCCTCTGAGAGATATTTGGTTAAAAAGAACACAATGGTGCTCTAGGAGGAGATTCAGGTGATAAGGTGGGGGGGGGGGGGGTTTACCTTGGTTGGTGATTGGCTAATGGTTACACAAGCCAACAAATCGTTATGACATCATAAAGTGGCCAAAATCTGATCAGTTCATTTTCAGACAGGTTTTTATATAAATGGATCAGGACAAAAAGAGAGAGAATCTTTTTTCCTGAAACTTTCAGAATCTCTTTCCACAGAGGGGACACATGTTGATGTAGAAGAGACATGAAGAAGAGGGGACACATGTTGATGTAGAAGAGACATGAAGAAGAGGGGACACATGTTGATGTAGAAGAGACATGAAGAAGAGGGGACACATGTTGATGTAGAAGAGACATGAAGAAGAGGGGACACATGTTGATGTAGAAGAGACATGAAGAAGTGGATTTTGCATAATAGGTGCCCTTTAATATCAAACATCAACCCACCTCCTTCCTCTTCTGCAGAAGCAGCTCCAGCTTGTCGTTGGCTCGTTTCCCGGCGATCTTGTTCCTCTCGGCCTCGTACTGCCTCTGCGTGTTGTCCTGGTGAATGCTCAGGTTCAGCGCCACGTTCACCAGCGCCGTCATCAGCTTCATCGCTGCGCACACACAGAAGCACATTTAAGGATCAGAAACACATACATGTAAAGGCCTCAGACTTGCATCACAGGAAACAATTTGTAAACTATTTGTAAACAATTTGTAAAACAAAACCAAGTTTACAACCAAGGAATTCCAATGAATTTTTATGTTGCAGGTATAACAGTCAGATGCAAATACAGTTTATCAGAAGCATTAAGATATAAAAGTGAAGCTGTTAATAATCAAACAACTTTTCAACAATGTAATGACATGCCACTTGTAAGATGTTGCGCTACCAAACAAACACTAGTGGTGTTGTCATTCACTGCTGACTGTTTAGGAGGTGTGTAACTCACAGAATTACTCAAAACAAAATGTCTCATTGTAATGACGACCTCTGTTGCTGCCGTCCTTACCTGCTAACGTGGAGGTGTGTCTGAAGGCTCGCACTTGAGAGTCGGACAGCCCGGTGAGGAGGGAGATCACCGTGTCCATCATGTACTCGTCGTAGATGATGCTGTACTGACACTGGCGGATCAGGACGCTGATGAACTCGCAGAAGTTGTAGCGGAACTTCTTCCACAGCGGCCCGGGCATCGTGAGAGGATAATCCCCGCTGTCCTGTTGACAGAGTGTTGGGAAAATACTGAATGTCCTCTTCCAATATCAGAGTCCACATGATAACAAAGGTATCCCAACTGTAGCTGTGAACATGACAGGATGTATGATTACCTAGAAGAGCATTAGGACTGTTTGAGGCATATGATAGCTATGTGATGTAACATGATGATTCAGCCTCTATGGAGATAGACATATGACAAGCATGATCATTTCTGACGTGGAGCTAATCTGAAGTAAACATTGAATACTGCTTTCTATTCCTCCATCTTGTGACTGTGTAACTCCCTCTCTTGGATATCAGCATGTGAAGGACACTGTTCAGGAACTAGTTGATGCTCTGTATGTGATGACTACTTCCATTCTGGAGAGGATCACAAATACATGGATCCTGAGATTGAAGCTCAAGCCGGTGACCAGTGATATTTTCTTAACACAAAACATCCTGATCAGAGCGGCTTCATCATCGTTTATCAGAGGTATCTTGTTCAAGCCTCTTTGCTGGCAACAATATCACTTCAGTTTTGGAGTTACTTTGGAGAAATATTGTTCAGCTGGCGAACTCCACAACCCATAAAGCTTTACTGTCAACTGTGTTATATTTTTCAAGTCAACTATAATATTAGACATATGAAGAAGTTAAACTTTAAACATCCATGACTTAAACACTTTATCCAGGATAAAAGCCACATAGCTGCACCTGCAAGGTGAATACAGCTGGTAAAAGAAAAAGTGTTTGAATGCGTACATTAACAGGTTTATGAAATCACTGCCCCGTCCAAGACACGAGTGGATCTGACTTTAATTAGGAGAATTTGACTCGAGTGTTTCGTCAACTTAATGTGTTGCTTAAAATAATACTTCTGCATACAGTATGTGACACTGTGAGTGTTGCACGGCCAGATACGGCTCAAGAAGCTGACTCAGATAAGGAAATATATGATACATTATGATGTGATATGATATGAATGATAATGGGACACATCGACGTCTGCACTCACAGTGCCGCGGACTGTACTAATGTTACTCTGATCCGGTTACTTATGTCGTGGCAGATATTTAAGTAAGCTTTCTTAACGCTAATGTTATAATAGTCAGATTGCTCTGACGATGGGAGGGGATATTCTATTAATTTTCACGTTCACACAGTCAGTTGATTTTTGCCGGCTGTCTTTCCTGCAACGGCAGTTTTTCTGTATTTCCTCTATCCTGTAATATGACTTGATCGCTTTAAACTCCGCACACACGGAGCTCTGATTGGTCAGCAGGCGGTGCTTTCACTGAGTTGATCTCTTAGCCTGCAACCTAACCTGCTCCGGACCAGGTTAGCCGCTCAGCATAAGTTACCATGGAGATCTAGCCTGCTAAAAAGAGAACCAGCGTCGTAGGACCGGAAACCCCGAGTTTTCCCTGAAGTTAGCCCGCTAAGCGAAAATCCGGCTTCGTAGTACAGGCCTCAGATCTTGTTTGTTATCTTATTGTTGTTGTTGTTGTGCAATGCGGTGTGATTTATATATAACTGAGGTGGGCGGTGGGTGGTCAGAGTAACTTTTATTGTGCCATTTATGCTGCTGCTGCAGTGTTTGGTCTACATGTTCATGATGTAAATAGAGGTAATGATCTTAATAATAATATATTATAATGCATTTTATTTATAGAGCGTGATTTCTTGAAACTCAAAGACACTTAACAGAGTAAAAATTAATAAAAACATAGTTAAAATATATCAAACACAACATTAATTACATATTAAAAGCAGTTCTGAAAAGGTGATTTTTGATTTGATCTGATCTTAATAATATTATTTATCAGTGGGATTTGGTATCAAGTGTGTTTTATTTTCTATATGTTTCGTAAATTGTGGCATATTATCCCTGAACGTGAGAAGAGGACACACTGTGTATCGCTTCTATAGACTGGCAACATATTTGATATGCTAATAATTATGATAAATACAGCAACACATCCTTCACAAGATAACCCTTTGAACTCTAACAATTCTCCGTCTGAACTTACCTCATCAAACTCTTCGGTCATCTTGCGGATGATCTCTGCGTTCTGCATGTTCCTGAACATCTCAATCCTCACGGTGCCTGGTCACAGAGAAATATGGACAGGATTTCAATCAGATTCACATTTCTATTTGACACGTGGACATGATTTTTTTAATAGTTTTGCTTTGTCCTACCTTTGCACCCCGAGCACTGGATGAAGAAATTGATGAGATCCAGAAGCGCCAAGTCTCTGTCCTGTTTATACGACTCGATCCACTCATCCACCACAGACTGAACGCACACAAACACAAACATCTGTTAATACAAAGTTGCTCAATTCACAGCATTACAAATCGCAGTACAGGGTGACATGAGATCAGCCAAATTGTACTAGAATTGGAAATGCAATACTGGTGTTTTTAAGCATCTTGTGAGACACTTTTACGCTGCTATGGACAATCTTGCACTAATGCACATTCTCAAGATATGAAGTGACTGTTATTCTGTATATATTGATTGTTGTAAATTGTTGTGTAAATGTGTCTATAGGATATACATATTTTATACATATTTTTATACATATCTGTATATTGTATTATCCAATCTCTCTTGTTCAACTCAGCTTTGGGTATGTCTACTAGGTTGAATGATTTCTCCAAGTGTGTCTACATGTTTGCCTGTTTCTTAATATGTAAAAATGTGTCTTCTTCTGTGTATATATATACATATTTGCACACATATTTATATATATATATTAGTTTTTATATTCGGGATTGTGGGAAATGGTATTTCGATCTCTCTGTCTGCACACACAAACTTGAAGATTGACAATAAAGTTGGCTTTGACTTTTGACTATGTGTTTTAGAAGCTTGTATCCCACCCACCTGCATGGCGCTCTTCCCCATTCTGACCACTTCAAACAGCGTGACGGGGTCTCCTCCGTCTCCATTATGTTGAACCACTCCGTTGGCTTTTCCTCGCCCTCGTGCTACGCTCACAGACTTTTCCGCCGGCGCCTTACGAGGCTTCTTATTGGTTGACTGTGGAAGCAGAGACGTCAATAACACGGGTAAGAAAAACCACTTTTATTTACTTGAGAAACAGATAACTGGGGGTTGAGACGGCTTGTTTCTTCAATGATTCAACACAATCAAATACACACACAAACGGAGATGGTTACACCAAAAGTCTGATTGTTAACAAGGCTTTTCTCACTCTTTCCTCACACACACACACTCTGCTGACAGAGGCTCATACCTGGGCTGCTTTTCCAGGCCTCCCTCTCTTCTTCTTGCCTTTGACCTCTGGTTCTTCAATCTCACTGATGCTCATACTTAAGCCCACTGCGTCTGTTGCCCCAGACTCATTGGACGAGTCCCTGAGAGAGAGAGAGAGAGAGAGAGAGAGAGAGAGAGAGAGAGAGAGAGAGAGAGAGAGAGAGAGAGAGAGAGAGAGAGAGAGAAAACACAAAATACATAAGACTTTGCATTTGAAAGCTTTCATTCGTCCACGGGGCAAATATTCAGGAAGTTCTATGAAAAAGAAACACACTCAACAACATCGTGTTTGTTTATGAAGACACAAATGAAGTCACACAAACGTCCACTTTAAAATATGAACTTTATCTACAGTACAAAATTACATAGAGAACCGCTTTAGAAGAGTGCATTTGAACTGTTTCACTTACTGTAGGACGGGGAGCTCCGAGGTGATCATCCTGGTTAGTGGGGCTGGCGGTGAGGAGTGTAACTGTGTGTGTGTGTGTGTGTGTGTGACTTCAGGACCTAGTGTGTTTCAGGTCCAAAAGATGGAGGCACAAAACAGCAGCTCGGTTGGGGGGGAAAGATGTGGAAGGGCAGGGAGGAGAGGCTGCAGGACGGACTGCACTCGACTTAACGGCACTTAACTCTCATCAGCTCCTGGAGAAAAACACACAGAAAGAAAGGAAGGATGGTTATTAAAACATTCATTTCAAAAACAACAAGAAGTGTTCAGCAATTGTTAAACATGTGCCATACAAGCCTGGTTGAAATATGTCAAAGGGAAGCTTGTTTTTTTTTTAACTTAAACTGTGATAAATACATGTTCTCATTGTTTTTAACATTAGGTAACACAGGACAGTTTGTATGATGTGAGGGGTCCTTCTCCCAAGTGTCACAGTTGTGAAAAAGCAGAGAGAATCACTTCCATCTGTCACTCAGGATGTGGAGGGGAAATGGGGAGAGGAGGACACCAACTGGACACTTTGAGAACTACAACAGCTAAATATTGAGGGGTGTGTAGTGAAGGTTTGTGCACATGAGTGTTGTTATTGTTAAAAAATGTCAGTAATCCACTGGGAATAATTTGAGATTTGATAAAGTACAGAAACCAAATGAGCTTTCTATATTAACTCAAGAGAAAAATCCTGTTATCGTTACATTTGACCATTTTAAACTGTGTTAAAGTATTATATAGAAGGAAGAGCAGTGCTATAACGTAATGCCTTTTGGTATATATACAAAAAAAATGAAACAAAGTCTTTGTAAGAGGCGTGGGATTCGTATGAATTTCAGAAATCCTTTCCAGAGTTGCAAAACATTCCCAGGTGGCGCATATGATGCAAACTCAATGAAACAATCCCAACATGCTTTGCAGCCAGAGCTAAGAGTGATGGTAATTTCTCAGTTAGAAGACTAGCAGCTAAGTTCATTTTTACATTAGTTTCTGATCTGTTCATATGCTAATGAGAGCAAAGAGCAGAGGAGGAGAAACACCGCTCTTCACCACAAGAGGCAGTATGATCCACAAAGTCCTCTGGCCAAAGTCTATGTCAAAGTGCTTAATTGAGTTTTAACTGATGGGAAGTGGGTTGAGAAAAATCCCCCAACACTCATTTAGCTCACAGCTCATATTTAGTCCAGTTCTGATAATCTACAAAGTGTTTAAAGGGTGTATTTTCCCCAGAGTGTGTGTGAGTGTATATGTGTGTGTTTGAAAGTAGGTCTGGGCAACAGTAGGGGGCAGGCTAAGAGAGTGTGTATTTAAATACTATCATCCACACAGTGTTTGTACTGAGGAACAGCATGGGCAGGAGAGCCCCCCTGTTTCACCACACACACACACACACACACACACACACACACACACACACACACACACACACACACACACACACACACACACACACACACACACACACACACACACACACACACACACACACAACACACACACACACACACACACACACACACACACACACACACACACACACACACACACACACACACACACACACACACACACACACACACACACACACACACACACACACACACACACACACACTGTATTGTTTTTAGCAGGTTTAAATCTAATTAAATACAATCAGGAGTTGCTCTTCTTACTTTCATGTTAGAACTTCAAAAGGCAGCGCTCACAGAGACAGGAGAGTTTCGACTTGATTTGACCCGCATGCACGTACATGAGCATCTGACCGATTTAGACACTTGATATTCCTGCTGCACCTGCGTTAAACTCCACACAGATAAGATATAGAGGCCTGACGCTGCCAACGTGGCTGCACATAGACATGGAGAGAGAAATAATCCTGGCTGTCTGTGGAGCAGCATTCGTACATTTGGATGAATTTTGTACTTGAATGAGAGATTGAGCAGCTTCTAAAAACATTTTTATGTCACGTTATATGTTGTCGTGCACGCTCTGTGTCAGAAAATGATATTTCATCAAATGAGTTATCTAGGTAAATAAAGTCAGAATACAACACAAACTCTGAGGCTAATATAGCAGCCTCTACGATTCTGTAGGTCTATAACGTCTTATGTGCAAAAGTTATTATCGATGCTTGTGTGTGTTCAGGGGAGCGAGGCAGGACGTGGAGTAATGGGAAAGTAACAGTTCAACTTAAAAGAGAATACAAGAGTATAAAGAGTAGCAAATATGATATTGATATTTGTATCACCTGCTCAGGTAAACAAGTTAAAAGAGATGAGTGCACCTCTGGCCTTGAAGCTACATGGGAAGCTTTATTCTCTCCTTTCTCGATTCAAATCAATAAATAATAGTCAAATACTTTAGAAAATTACAAAAAATAAAGAACAGGAATTCTACAAGAAAGTAAAATAACCTTTAAGCTTACATAAAAAAGCGATATCTCCGCTTTCATCTCTCATTTCTTTTATTCATGTACCCTTAAGTATCCACATATTTGGCCTATACTTTTTAGGATTTTATAATGCAATTATCACTGCCATTAAATCATTTTAAACACTGAATTTTAGATTTAGATTACTTAGCTACATGTAAGTAAGTCGTTAAGACTGTTCGTTAACGAAATGGATAGTTCACTTGGACAAAAAAAAAATCACAATTATTTTTAAAATCATGTAACAATTGTAATGGAGAGACCAGCTTTACAGTATACAGTATATTATAAATGAAGCCTAGAAGAGACTAGTTTCCCTCTAATGGCGCGTTTCCACTACAGCGCGGAGCCCCGTTTAAGAGGGCTGTGACGTCAGCGGCCCGTCTTTGGTTGCGTTTCCACTTGGCCTAGTACCGGCCGGCGGGTCCTAATTCACAGTTTTTCTGGCCTCATAAAATCGTGGGTCCAGGGCCAGAGACAACGAGGCTGAGACGGGCTGAGTATGCTAAACTAGAGAGAGAATCGCTGGCAAGGGGGCTACAACTACAACAAGATGGACATATTTGACCGTGATTTAATTGTAATACACGTTTCAAAATGATGCCGAAGTAACAACATACTGATACCGGTTAGTAAAAACCATGAATTAATGCTTTGACAAGTCTGCAGACAGACGGCAGGCGAAAAACCTTTTAAAATGCGTGTTTTCTAAATGGAGATTGGCTAAGCTAACGCAGTATATGCTCCGACCGTCCACACTCACAACAACGGCCTATGCAGACATAAATAAAGCAGCGACTGTATTCACCATGACACAGGCAGTCTGTGGTTTGTACTTGTTTAACTTTTGTCTAGTTTCTGAACATATATGAGGAGCTGTGAGCTCTGAGTGCTAACAGCTAACGGCTGTGTTGTTTTTCTGGGGTTCTCATTGAAGATGACGTCACGGCTCCGCCTACACTGCGTTACTATAGATACTGCCCCAGTTCCTAAACTGTAATGGAAATGCGCCATAAAGTGAGCCAGTCCTAACGAGGCCTAGCCATACCGAGCGGGGCCGTGTAGTGGAAATGCGCCATAACTGGCTATACTGTACTCTACAAAGTCCACCCACTAAGGCAAGACGCACTGATAAAGAACAAACAAACCAATTCATTTGAGTTGGGACACAGGGATGTGAGTTTTGATACCTAAATATAGTAAAAGGTAAACAAAGAGACCCGTTAAACAGATTACTTTTCTAAAATTGTACATGATAAAACATGCTAAGTGTAGTTTTAATTATGTAGCTCCTGCTTAATGTTTATTTGATTATCTTTGCATTTTTAATGACTGTTTTTAAATGCCATTTTCTTAATGTCTTTCATTTTTGTAAAGCACTTTGAATTGCCTTGTATTGCTATATAAATACACTTGCCTTGCCTTGCTGTAATTGACATGACAATGACCAAAGATACTTTATGAATAATCACCTCATTTCATCTGGTGTAATCAGCTTGATTGAATTTAATTAGCGGACTAATCCCACTAACACATCACACCTCATTGAGAGAGCTGATAATAATCAAGATGGAGCAGGACAACATACTCAAAACTAAATGATAACGCTCCTCCAGTAGCTTGAGACACATGAGACTGTTAATCACACTATGAGCAGTTCATAATAAGCACATGTAGAGATGATACTGGATTAAAGCCACAGTCGTGCAGCTTTGGGATGATCTTATGTCATTTCACCATCGTTCCACCTGCTAACCTTCACACCCCGTCACATCTCAGCTGCATCATTTCATTTCCCCCAACGATAATATTCATCCCTTTAATTATCAGATTATATATCCTTTTTTTTCCTTTGCATTTTAAGAAAATATTCACAAAGCATACATACCAAAAATAAACACATCTAGGTACAAAGATTAACTACATAACAGATGACAAATACGAAAATAAATAAGAGTAATAATACTTGTTAATACTCAGGTATACATTCATTATATTGTTCTATACTTGACCCATTTTTCCCCCCTTTCCTCAAAGATAAGCATGTGGTTTCTAATTCTCACAGTTGTTTTCTATATTAAATAGATTTCATTTACTAAGTAAAACCACGTTGTACATTTTACTCTATAATCTGTTCAATATTTATACTCCATATTCCATATATTTTGAATATATATATATATTTGTATATATATATATATAATATCTGCATGTATATTTTCTATTTCGACATGAATATTTTATATTTTATTTAATTTTTCTTTCTATTCTTGTATATTTTGTAGTTTTGTTTTATTGTAAAATGCCTTTTATGCTGCTGTAACAACAACAATTTCCCAATTTGGGATCAATAAAGTACTATCTATCTATCTATCTATCTATCTATCTTATTCCATTGTGAGTTTACTCAGGCCCCATTTATACGGGAACGCAAAAAGTCTTCCGTTCACACGGATACGGCTCAATAAACGTGTCCCTTCACGAGACCACTGGAAACGCTGGAGACGCTGTAGTACAAATGCCGGGCCTGTAAGTGGCGCTGTACTTCCGCCACAAAATACAGCAAAAGCAGCGAAGAAGACCCCCGAGCATGGTTGCCATGGTTGCCATGGTTGCCCTTCTGTTTATTCTCCGCTGTGGATTTAGCAACATGTAGTTCATGTAGTTCTCCATGTCCACTTGTTGCTGATGGTTGTGGTAGAGGAGCTGTAGATGTTGCACTAACATCTGTAGCATGGTCAGTAGCAGTAGCATGGTCAGTAGCAGTAGCAG